TATACATATGCCAAAGATCAAGTATGTGTCTCAACAGACCTCACACCTGTTCCAAAGAATACATATATATCCCGAAGGACCACATATCATTCCTTAAGAATCATATACATATGCCAAAGATCAAGTATATGTCTCAACATACCTCACACCTGTTCCAAAGAATACATATATATCCCGAAGGACTATATATCATTCCTTAAGAATCATATACATATGCCAAAGATCAAGTATGTGTCTCAACAGACCTCACACATATTCCAAAGAATACATATATGTCCCGAAGGACCACATAGACCCTCTACCCTTGGCATGCCAACTATACCTATAGTTCTCATCTACATAACATGGGATTTCACCATTCACATAATTTATATCGCATAGGTATATTATTTTCATATATTTATCACATAACTCATATAACTTTTCTTGTATATTCAGGTCACATAATGCATATGGTATGAGTTCAGGTCACATAATGCACTCACCTAGATTTCTTTGTCTTTTCCTCGATTGATCCTACTGGTTGATGGTTCCAGAACTCGTTTAGGCTCGGTATCTACATAGTAATTCATTGATATTTATCAGTATACTAGTTAGTATATTCTAAGCTATCATTCTTAGGCTAAAAGAAAAGTCATTTTCATCTTTTAATGGAGGTATGCATCGATGCATTACACCATGCATCGATGCATAAATCTTATTCGATGTTTGTATTTAATGGGGTACATCGATGCACTCCTTATGCATCGATGCATCGATGGCATTCGATGTTTTTTTTTTTTTTAAATTAATGCATCGATGCACTTCATGTGCATCGATGCACCTTAAACAATTTCTGGGATTTATCATTGATGCATCGGTGCATAATGAATGTGCATCGATGCACATTACTCAGAATTGTCATTTTAGCACGAAAATCTCTTCTTAGTCTACTTAACACTTTATATTACCCCTCTTTTTATATCCTTAACTTACATACTCTTACTTAAACTACTTATTATTCATTTCATACTTTCAAAACTTAGAAATCCGATTCTCCATGTAGAGTTTAAGAATCTAACCCAAATTCCAATATGTTCTAATTTGAATTCTAACACTTCATACCTCTTAGTTAGCTTAATAACAAGTCAAATTTCACTTCTAATTCTTATTAAGAACCCTATTCCAAAATTTCACTTTTCTACTTCCTTTCTTTAATTCTTCACACTCCTCATCTTATGGTTTTAAGATAATCTAAGCTTTCCTTAAGCTTAGTTATCAACTAAGGATCAATAAGAAACCTTAAATTCATCAAGAATTTGATCACAAGAAAACTCACCTTTAGCTTGGCTTCACGGCAGAGAAGGAGAAGGAAGAAGAAAGAAATATCCAGAACCTTGTTTCTCTCATAAGCTTAGCACGTGGATTTAAATATCCTTAAAAAAACATTTAATTTATTTCCTTGCCAAAAGACCCATTTGCCCCTTTAGTTCCCCATGCTTTGCTAATGATCCTACACCAAATATTTCAATCAATTCCTTCAACTTTCAATTTATCTACTTTGATCAATAACTTTTAAAATTTCACAATTTAATCACTGACCCGGTATAGAGGATGTTACACTTCCACATCGTCAACCAGTCTCTATGCTTCACTAACCAATTTACCTCTTTATAGTCTCGTCTATCGATGTTATGCATATTGTCGAGGTTCCTTGGTGCTTCTAGAATAAATTGTGTAAACACAAACTGATGAAGCACACGATCAGTTGAATGTCACTCAACAATAGCATAACAAATAAGGGGCACAACTGCCACCCATACATCCAATATCTCACTAAGGTTAGGTGAGATGCAAACCCTTAATTCGTCGTCCAAATATGGAAACCATTTGAACTAAAACAAAATTATTTATTTCTTATCAAAATTAAAATGAGTTTCAAATTATATAAATACAATTAAATAAAAAATTAAAATTAAAAAACATACCTCTGCACCAGCTTTTTGGTCAATAAGTAATCTAATATCTTGTTATTATTGTGGGATATCACGATGATTTTTTCTATTACTTGACCACCTATTTAATATATATATATATATATATATATATATATATATATATATATATATATATATGTCATTCTATAATAATAAAAAATATTATTTAAAAATAAATTTACTATTGATACCTTGAAAGTAACAGGAAGACATATGACTCATTCGTGATTTGACACAAAAAATTCAGGTGGTACCGTGCCCACGATTGAAGAATCATTAGATAACCGTCAATAGTAGTCTTCTTATAATTCGTAACTCGACACATTTCTCTAAACAAAAATGCTCAATGTCTCAGCTACTTCAAAATCGATCAGGTGCCTCAACCACATACAATGGACTTGGTTTCGAGATTTGTCAGGCATCAATATACCTCAAATGAGTTGTAGTATATATGCCCGGGCAAATGCTTTTTCCTCGTCCTCCGAACAATTTTCGCACAACTCTTTAAATTCATTTTTCAACCACTCTAAAGTTATTCGGCCACCGTTTAAACTAAGCGGACAACTTCCAATATACACCCTGCATAAACCCCCTAATCATCATCTGTCACACCACAAATGGTAGTTCTATCGATCAAGAGCCCCAGTAGCATTGAAATATCCTCTAGCGTAATGATACACTCCCCACATGGTAGATGGAACATGTGTGTCTCCGGCCTCAATCTCTCAATTAGTACAAAAATCTAGGCGGGTTCAAGTTTACAACATCCTTCAATGTTTGCTAAGTAACTGAATTCAACCATAGACAAATATGACCAGATATGCCTCGGTGTTTCCATCTTTTTGTTGTGAATAAAAACTTTTAATATATGATCATTTTCCTAACAAATAAATTTTAACCATTAAAATTTGAACTTCAATTTCAAAATTATTTAAATAAATTTTAATAATTTTAATAATATATAATTGATTTCATAATATTCATAAATTTAAAAAGAAAATAGTTTTGTATTCTTACTATATCGGTAAAATGATTCAAAATATGATCATCATATAATCACAACAATGTGTCTTATATTTTTTTAACTGCAATTAATAAATATTAACTAAATAAGTTTACAATTAAATAATCAAATAAAAAATAAATACTAAAATAAAATAATAATAAAATAATTAATTACTTAAATAATAAAAATATTAATGAATAAAATAATAAATTATAAAAATAGTTATACCTTACTAGATTGAAAATAGATAGGAATGAGAAATATTTAGGAGTGATTTATGTGAGTTGGGGGAGGGAGTTTATATATCTAGTCAGTCGGGGAAATAAGCAGAAAATTAGGGCGAGAGGGGGAAGGCACGTCCCATGGGATGCGCTTTCTAGGGTTGTCAGAAAACCCCAGTAAGACACGCCTCTAGGGATGTACCTTTCAGGGGTATCAGTGATTTTATTAGGTGTCAACGATTTTCAGTTAAGACGTTTCCTACCATTCGAGTCTTTCAATTAAGACGTTTCCTACCAATCGGGTCTTACTCCTAAAGCGTGTTTCACTGAATGAGCCTCCTTCTCTCAGGTGTTAGATCATATAATATTTACGAAATGGTGATTGATAAATAATATTTTATTTATACGATGATTTTTTATTAAATTGACACAAAAGTGATCCTTTTTTAAGTCTTAAAAAATGACTTGGATAAAGAAGAAAAGATTGTCATTAATTGTGTTAGTGGGTTGAAAATTGAAAAGGTATGGTGAGAGGTCAAAGCCGTGTTAGATAGGGCATATTTAAATTCTTTCGGTTTAATTGTCAACCCTGTATTTAATTTAATTGCGTGCAGCGTCCCAGCCCCTTCGCTTCTCTTTTCACCAAGTCGTCTAACCTTTTCCAATCTCTCTGCTTTCTTTCTTTTCCAAATTTACTAAAATTATAGTACTTGTTTCCCGAGCTGTAAACGATTTATCCCAAAAACTTTGAAATAGTGCATGATTCGATTAAAAAATATATGAGTTTAAAATTTTTAAACTCTACTCGAATTCAAAATCATAAGCTGAAACTCGTAAAAGTTCGAAAAGGAAAAAAATTTAACTCCACTCGATTAAAACCTCAAACCTAAACTCGAACATGAATCTTAAATAAATAAAAACCTTATATTACATTTTTTATAAAATAAACACATAAGTGTTAATATTATTAATAATTTATTTTTAAAAAATCTTAATATATTATATTTTCGAGTCGCTCACGAACTTTTCGAGTCGATTATCAAGTAGTTCTTTTCGACTCATTAAGAGCTCGAGTCGAGTCGATTACATTCAGTATTTATCGAACTTTGACCGAATTAATCTCGAATAATTCAAAATATATCTCTTCTTATTTACAATATTACTTGCTTCACTCAAGGCTAGGACACCATTATTCATCTATGCTCATAAATACTAATCAATTTTGTATTTTAATATTAAATAAAGTTCAATTTTATCCTCAATTCTTGTATTAAAACATAAAAAATCAAATTAATAATTTAGTGATTAAATAAATAATGTATTATAATATTAATAATCATTCAAAATTAGAATTTCTAAAAGATTTAGAATTCAAAGGAATGAGTTGAAAAACTAGAAAAGGGAGAAAGTAGTAGAAAAACGATTACTAATGACTTTTTTTTATTGTCCTCTGTTATAAAATTTTGATTAATCTAAATTGACCCTGATTAATCTAGATTAACTCAAATAATATACTTAATTTTAATAGATAAATCCATTTACGAATATTTTTTACAATCATAAAAACTCGAATATAAAATTTTACTTAAATAATATCAAATTTCCTAGTTAACCAAGACATTAATAACAATTACTAATAAATTTGACATTTTGGACGCGTCTATTCAGTATTATTACAGCAGCAAGAGTGTATTCCCTCTCCTAAGGACACATTGCCCCATAAAAGCAGTGTCCCGTGAAGCTTTTCAAACCCTTTAAAAGAAAGAAGCAAGCCCCCCGTAACACCACCACCGCCTCTTCAATGGCTTCCTCTTCAAAAACCACCACCTTCGTCCAGGCCGACCCTTCAACCTTCCGCACCATCGTCCAGCTCCTAACCGGCGCCGAGAAGCCCATTTCTAGCCTCCACGAACGTCGACGAGCCCTCGACAAGCTCCAAATCAACCGCAACACCAACGGAAAGAACGATTCCCCGTGTGCCGGACAAAGAGGGTCGTCGGTTTCATCACCCATTTCGACGCTGGATTTCGTTCCACTCCTCAGCCCACCACCGTCGAACGCCAAGCGAACGAGGTCCACAGTTGTAGAAGAAGAGGAGGGGGAAAAGAGAGGGCTTTATTTGCATAATCAAAGCGGTCCATTGAATACGCGGCGGCGAGGAGCAGAACCTGAGTTGTTGCATTTGTTTCCTCTACATTCTCCCAGTGAAAACATCCACTGATAATGATTTGTTTTCTTTTGTGTTTTTATCAGAGATTTGTTCGTCTCCATTGATTAGTTTTTCTTTGATGGGATTAGAGTTTGTGATCTTGATTTTGTCATGCACCATAGCAGTATAAGTTCATTCTAATTTGCGTTGAGAATTTTAGAAATCCATGCCTTTTTGGCGATGATACGTGTCGTAATCGGTTTTCGTTCGGATACGAATTTTTAATCGGTTTTCGTCCGGATACGAATTTTTTACTTGACGGGAAAATAATGTAAATAAATTAATGATTTTGATTTTTTTTCTAAAAGAAATATTTTGGTCGTCATTAGCCTTTTGAGTTAGATATGTCGAATACTTAAAAAATCATCTTTTAAAAAAGTTTTTAAAAAACATCGATTAAAAGATAAACTGATCTGCATTTTAACTAAAAATTCATTCTTTTTAATAATAAAAAGAGATTCGTGGTCGGTTATGTTTAGGGAAATATTAACACCCCTACAACGCCCAAAATTGGTACTTTTTAATTATAAATTGTCTCTTATTATTAGAAATTAAAATTTAAAATATATTTAATTTAAATTTATTAATTTATATAAATAAGATATTTATTTATTTAAAAATATCAGAAAAGAGCTTCTAGGTGTTTTAAGACAGCTCTTTCCTTTGATATTAAAAAATAAATAAATATTAAAACATTTATCTAAAAAAATAGATTAATATATACAATTTATAAAAGTAAAATATTTATTTATTTAAAAATATCAGAAAACAGACATCTAGTTGCTTTAAGACTGCCATTTTCTTTGATATTAAAAACTAAATAAACATTATTATAAAATTTTTATAAAATTAATCAAATAATATATTAATATGATTAAAATAATAATTATTATTAATTTAAATATATAACAATAAAATAAAATTGCAATGTAATAAATAAAATTAAAATTATATGATCAAAATATAAAGTATTGAAAATAAAAGATCAAATTCGAAATATTAAGAAATCTATATCCTAATATTTTAATTTAACCTTAATTATTTATTCAGAGCTAAAATAAAATTTATAAAACTATGAGGGACTAAATGCGATATTTATCCTAAATATATTATTTAATATAAAGGACTAAAATAAATAAAATTAAAATTAAAGAACCAAATTATAAAGATCTAAAATTGGGTTCAGTGACTAAAATATAAGGTTATAAAATTATAATGGCTGCGGAAAGGGTTTTACCCTTATCAAATTACACACATGTCCTGACGCCGTTTAAGAGAGGGTATAAATACCCTATGCTGGCTGGCCCGAAGGGCCAGCATCTCATTTCTCATTTCTCTCTTCTCTCTCTTAAACTGAGAGAGAGATTTCTCTCTCGCCTCTCTCTAGATTCCTCCAATCGGAGGAAGGCTGGCCACCAGTCGGCAGTCGTTTACCGCCGGCCACCGCATCCGATGGCCGGAAAATTTTATTTTTTACCAAAACGTATATCGGACCGTCCTAATGACGGTTCCGGTGACCGTTTTTCTTAAAAAGCTCCTGATCGGAGCAAATCTATAAAAATACCTTCGGGTATTTCGAATGTTTCGTCGGCACGTAGCGTCTCCGGTCACCGCGTGGTTTTTTCGGTAAGTTCTTTCTCCTTTCTTTCTTTCTGTTTTGATTGCTGCTGAGGGTTGTTATTATTTTTTTTTCTGTTTTCTGTTGTCTGTTCGGTATCTCTTCGTTGCTCTCTGTGGTCTATTGGTTACTGCCTTCGTTGCTCTCTGTCTCTTTTTTTTTCTTTTTGCAGGTGTGGTCATATAGTCTCGAAGAGGCTCTCGTCGGACGAGTCAATAGAGGAAGCTTTGGTGAGTCACCAAACTTCCAGTGGTGACTCACCTCTAGAGCAGCGACGTGTATGACCTCGGGATGCTTCTGGAGCATTCTTATGAGGTGGTGTCAAGGTAGCAAGGCGTCGGCAGCTGCTGGTTGGGTCACCTAGCATTGAAGGTGTCGGCTGGCTGACGAACGGCGGCCATGTGGCCCTAGGGTATCATAACCCTAGGGTTTCTGCTGAAACCATCTGAACCGTTGGATCAATGCTAGATCCAACGGTGGAGAAGCAAAGCGGCGGCAGCACTAGGATAGAAAACCCTAGTTGGGTTTTAGGGTTTCTGATGGGTTTACTCAATTGGGCCAGAATTGGGCTCATGTTTGGGTTGTAATTTGTGTCTGTAATATATAATAAATAATAATATTAATAATAATAAAAATAATAATAATAATAATAATAAATATAAATATAAAAAACCAAATGTAAAAAACTAGAGCCTTCAATATGAACACGATTTCTCTTTGTAAATTAATGAATGAATAAATATTTTATGGGTAAAGTACATAAATATGTCTCCAGTTTATAAATAGTCGTTTTATCGAGTATTCTATTATTAAAATTTACAAAAATAATATTTTAATTTTAGATTATTATTTTATTAAATCTTATAATTATTAAAATTTATAAAATGATCATCTAATTTTTCGTATACTCAATGATTTTTGTATTAATAAAATATTGGACCAAATTACGAATGTATGACCTAAATTGCGTTGCTATTGGTTTAATTTCCCTCCTGCATTTCTAGCACTCCGTAAAGTTTGGCGCGATCTTCCATTTCGCAAAAGGTAAGCTCTCCCTCCCCCATATCTTTCCGTTTGTTTCCTGGGAAAATGAAGGAAACCAATTCTTATTCTTTCTGCTACCATATTCTCATGGGTTCTGCATCAATAGGAAAAGATAACAAGTATTCAAACATGAGGTTAAAGGGCTAGATGGGAAGAGTTTGAAGAATTGGAATTATACTTAAAAGTAGCAAAATAACTCTTATCAGATCATTTTATTCATCGACCACTAGAGGAAGGATGAACAAAAGGAGAAGATCACAGAACCAAAAAAAGGAGAAAAGGGAAATCACACACGGAAACAAAAGAAAACAAAAAACAAAAGTCATTAGTAATCTTTATTCATCGACCACTAGAGGAAGGATGAACAAAAAAACAAGGGAGAGGACCATTTGAAAATCAATAATCCAGAGAGCATAGCAACAAGAAAGGGGAGCTGGGGCAGTGGTGGTGAGAACAGAGAGAAAATAAAAGAGAGAAGAGGGGCGCTCTTTCCTTCGGCCGACACACCGCTCCGGGGATTGAGACATCTATCTGACAATCCGAGCAGTTGAAGACTCCGTTATAGTGAGGGGAACCACATAGTTAAAAATGACGCCAATTAAACGGTGGTCGATAGCGAATCCGAGAGGAAAAGATGAGACGTTTATCGACCATTCCGTGGATTTGAAAACCGTTTCTCGCAAAACCAAGGCCATATTCAAGCTCCCGATATTGAGGCGGAGCTTCCCTCGAAGTTCGGCGTTAACGATCGCCCGAGTGTGGCGGTGGACGACAGCTTTCGTTCTGGCGAGAAGGTGACAAAACGCACCCTTAATCTGTTAACAGGTCTGGAACTGTTTTGTGATTCAAAAGTTTTGAAATTATATGTTGCACGTGCATTTTAATGTGTTGATAATATTGTACTTGTAGTTATTATAATTTTGAATGAACCATTCTTTGACTCCTTTTTTTTGAATAATTTTGTTTCTGTCCCTATTGAATGTTTTTGTAGAAAAATGATGTTTATGCTTAGGGTCTTAATTCTTGCTTTTGCTTATTCTGGTCATTAGTTTCCAATCTTTTTATTTAGGTCCTAATGTTGGGATTGTAAACTTTCACTTGTTTGTATTCTGGACATGATATTTCTGAAATTTATATTCTAGTCCTACATGCGTCTATGGTTGTATTTTAATCATAATGTTTGAAATCTAATTATTTGTGGTTCATGACCTTATTTTTGTTCAGTGCATAATTTTAACCTTAGACTTGCTTACCTTTTGTTTCAATCATTATATTGTTGTCTTCCTCATACACATTTATATATTCGTAGTGGTATATTTATTACCATATTAGGAATTGAACATAATCTTTACCATGTGTGTACAATCTTTATATATGAAAGTGTATTGCATGATTTATATTCGTTGTCTTAAATATGAACACGTAAATATTATGTTTGTACTCGCATGTTCATCTAGATCTAGGTTGTTGCATTGTTTATTTATTTAATGCATGGTAACCTCATTTGCATAACTCGACATAATACATAATCGAACTAAGGGTAATATCCTTTTAAATTAAAATTGTCTTGAGTGGTCTGTCTTAACTGATTAGAGGGTCGTTATGACCATTTTAAGTTAAAAGTGTATCCCGAAAGTGAAACTAAAAATTGATTCGTCACCTAAAATTTGGGAACGAAAGAAAAGGAAATGTTCGTTTATTTAAATTTATCGAGAAAAGATTGTTACAACTCATATAAGATCTAGTCTCGATATTTTTAAATTATCGAACATTCTCTATCTTTCTAAAATGACTAGGTAATTTTAATTTAATTTATTTGAGTGTTTTTTGAATATTGTAAAATTCACTTTTTTGTTGTTTTACAGGATCAAAAATTAAATTAAATTCGAATTTGTAAAGTTCATTGCAAAGACGTTAATTAATCGATTAGGTACTGATTTAGGGCTTTGTGGGGGTGCTAATCCTTCCCCACACGTAATCGACTCCCGAACTCATTTTTTGGTAACGTATACCTCAATTTGTTTTTTTAATTAAAATTAATTCTTATTTAAAATAACAAATTTTTTTGGTGCCCAATCACACCCTAATCAAATATTGGTGGCGACTCGTCGAACCGTATTTTTCGATGGTAAGTAAAATCCAAAAATTTTCGAAACGAGAGGTCTTTTAAATCACATTTGTTTTTAAATTAAAAATAGGATAATTAAGAATTAATGTGGTTTTCAAAGTCTCACTTTTAAGGGAAAATCGTTTTGACAGCTTGGCGACTCCGCTGGGGACATTTTTTAGAAAGTCAGGCCGATAGTCAATTAATTAATTGTCTTTGCAATTGAAAGTTATAAATTTGTTT